CACTGCCAGCAAACTAGTCTCTGGAAATGTTGGCCGCCATCCTCCGCTGCAGATTGAGCATAGAAAGCAAGAGCAGCGTGATTTGCAGAGGAAATGCAACTGAGGTGGGGTTGCGGCAGGAGAGCAGGCATCTGCCTGCGCGTCAGTTCACTCATACAGACCCACCCAATCCCTGCGTTCTAGTGGGGGAAGTGGCAGCGAGGGCGCTGAAGTGCAGATCAGCTCTCCATTTTGAAATGTTGTTCATACTGCAGTTAAATGGACTAGTTCTCCAAGGATTTAGCCAAGGACGCAACATTCCCATCATCTGAGACTTTATGGCATATGCTAAGAAAGCGGACAAGACTAAAAAATATGCATTCAGAACATGGTGCTGGAGGAGAGTTTTTAAATACCAGCAGAAGGACAGACAAGTGGGTCCCGGATCGAATCAAGGCAGCACTTCCCCTGGAAGCAAAATTGGCAGAGCTGCGGCTGTCATATTGTGGGCAAATCAGGAGAAGGACCGACTTCCCAGAGAGAACCATCCTGCTAGGCACAGTCGAAGGCAGAAGACAAAAGGGAAGACCAAATATGAGATAGATTGACTCCATAAAGAAAGGCTTGGCCTTAAACTTGAAAGAACTGGATGGATTTCGTTCACATCATCACATAAGTTGAAGACAACTTGACAGCATATGGCAACAAGACATCAAGTACAGATCTGGAGTCGGTCGGTCTGGGAGGTGCATCTCTTTGCTTGAATGCTTCATTTTCATGTAGCCACAGGCCATTCTGCAATGCTTCCTTTAAGCCTCCCTTGGCAGAAGTGCAGAGCCTGTGTGGGTGTTGTACAGCAGATTGCTTCTTCTGTGTCTTTCATATAAGCCGCACGATGGTATTGCTGAAACAGCTGGTTTCTCTAGAATTCCAGCAGACCTTGTTTATAGCAGTTGCACTGCAGATGCCATTGACCTTCAGCTGTGTTGCCATTAGACACCTGTGCTGTTGCAGGCCAAATGCCTGGATTTTGTGTAAAATTCACATATTGCAGACAAGCATTTAAAAATAAGGACTGAGCCTCTGGTGGTTGACATGGCATATCCTATATATGAGTGCGTATATTAGTACATTAATACATCTCCTTGATATATTAACTCATAATAGTAGGAGGTGGTCACAGTGTAAAAAAGGCTTGAATCGTACTCCTTAAAAGGGGAAGCTTTTGTGCCATAGATATCATAAACGCCACTTGATTTTTCTTCTTACAAGCTGTTACATTAGCTGCAAGAATAGGGCTAGTCAGATTTCTTCCAGGTTAGTAATGTGTCCCTACATGCACCAAGTTGGTTTAAGCAGTCTTTGTGTGGCTGCCTGCTTGCGCTGTAATGCTGAGGAGAGCTTTGCCTGCGTGTGCCCCAAGTGCAACACAATCATCGTTATTGGTAATGCACGCCTGTGTACGCAAAAGGCCTGAGCAGGTCGATCTCTGCAACTGCATCATCATCATCATCATTATTATTAGAACATTTCATTGCCGCCCCTTGCCGAAGCCTTGGGGCGGCTTACAACACAATACAATACAAAAATAACAATATAAAATTAAAATTAATAATATAAAATAAATAAGAAATATAAACGATATAAAAGAAGTTATAAAAGAAAATTCTTGGCCTTGAAAGTGTGCGTGACACAGACTTGGCACACGGCGTTGTTAGAGGATGCTTATAATGTATTTTATGTATCAGGAGACGGAGAAATGAAGAATTACAACTCTGTGTCAGAACAGACACTGCTGTGCTCACCGTCTGTGGCTGAATTCAGTGTCAGCTCTTGCTTCTCAACTACGTCGCTCCCGTCTCATTTGTCCAACAAGCCCTTAACATTCCAGTGCTTTCACAGTATGAGTGATTTTGACAGTGCTTTCAGGCAGCCAGGATAGGTCGCACAGAAGATTAATACAACGGTGACTCTACAGTGTGTGATTATTAGATAAATTACATGAGGCCACCAGGAACTGCATGTGTGAATTTTTTTTCCTCCTCCTCCTGTACAGTTGCCCAGTAAACATATGACATATTTGTTAGCTAAATTCTGACCCAGTTTTGCTTGTGTGAATGTGCAATATAAGAGTGGGGATACAAAGTTAAGAAGTGGTTCTGTGGCTAGTGGGCAGCTGAAGATTGCTGGGGTTTAAATTGTATTTAAATTCCGTTGACCCTGCATTATCCTCCAAGAAGTAGGCCGGTACTTAAGAGGGGGCATGTCCATAAGTGAGAGAACATGTACAGAGTTTATCGGCAACAGCAGGGGGTTGGCCCCAATGGCCGCCTTGGCCCCTGCCTCTTCTTCTGTGCTGCTATTATAATCTTCTCTCCGAAGAAAGCAGCTAGTTGGGGTTTGACAAAACATGTGAATAAAAGAAGCATAAGCAGTGATACATGTCCAGCAATTAGTTGACTTAGGCAAATCCTCTTTGAAGAAAGATGTGACGTTCAGCAGACATAAAACAGTGGTTATTGCTGAATGAGAAGTAACTGAAGATTCATTGATGCTTCAGATGCAGGTGCTAAAAGGGTGATATGCTAAAGCTCTTAAGAATGGCAGTTGGCCTTGCAATTCATGCATAGCAAGAGTTTGGAAGAAACTGTGAATACAAAGAGATTATGTAGCTTAGGCTCTCCCTGAAAGCCAGCCAGCTTATTTGTTTCTGGAAGTTCAGCCAAGAAAAGGAAAACTTTTCCCTACCTTTAGAGGGCTGCTTCAGCCATTCATTTCCAAAGAGGTCAAATTCTGGTACTTTGCCTTTATCATATCAGTTTTGCATGGGGAATACTTTTGTGATGAGCAGGCTTCATGCGCAAAACTGAAAATTTACAACAACATCATCATCTCTATAGCAACCAATAGCTAAAGCTTTCTGGGCTGATAAAAATGGCAGATAAATGCAAAATATAATGCAAAATAAAAATAACATTTAAAATACAGTACAAAAATTTAAAAGCTACAATAGCTTACATATAAAGTAAGCAAGAACACACAACTTTTCAAGGGGTTTTTCTCTCCAGTATAACTCATTGGTTGCATTCAAACAACATCACAAGCAACACCGTGTGATTACCACAGTTCATAACTTATTACCATGTTCTACCCTCAGGCAGTCGAGTTGTTTCTGTGTTATTGTGGTTTCCATCCTCCCCACTCAGTCCTCCCATCATTGGCATTTTTCCCATCAGCTCTTGTCCCTGCAGTTCAATCCCAAGGTGCATTGCTCCCTGTGTCATCTGCCTCTTCCTCATTGGTCCACACATAGAGGCTGAATAGCCAAAATGGCTCTTGCAGTCGCTGCTGTTTCCAGGGGACTCTGTGGCTATTGCACACCAGAACCATGGAAAGCACAATGCTGTGTTCAGGCAACATGACATGCCACAGGGGGTTTTTACCATTGCTGGTCTCTCATGTTCTCCAAATACAGTCATGGTATTTCACCATGGTAACTTTGCTCTTACATTGTTTCTTACTGTGTTTTCTAAAGAAGAAAAACACCGTGGCTTGTTGTATTGTCTGAACTCAACCATTGCATTTCTTTAAATTCAGAAACTCTCTCTCTCTCTCTCTCCACTCCCTGTACCAAAAAAAAAAAAAAGACATTTCAGGCCATGTTCTTACCCAGTTGTACAGTAAAGAAATATGCCTCTTCTGGCCAATGTGTGGAAGAAGCACAGAAGTAATTACCATGAAAGGGAAGCCATAATGGCAACTTCGAGGGGTGCAGCCTAATGTCCTCTGGATGTCCTGGGCTGCAGCTCCCTCTCTTCTTCTTCATAGTCTCCATGCATCACACATACGGGCTTTGAGCCTGTTGTTGAGAAGTTTCTACAGCTAAGCATTAGTCTTTCCCATGGATGCCGTGGACGGGAAGGGGAATGGCTCCCACCCATTTCCTCCGTTCCTTTTTGACCCCCTCCAAACTTCTCAACTTAAGTATTTGTTCAGCATGTATTACCCTTTTTCTCTCTACCACTTTCTACTCCTTGGCCTCCTACTCAGCCACCATATCTCCATGAATTTAGTTTTACTCTTTACTGGTTAAAAAAAAAAAAAGCACCACCCCAAATTAGGCCATTATTGTTTCTATTTGCTGATTAAATTATTTCATTCATTTCATGGATAGACCAAAGAAGGTGGGGTGGAAATTTTGGACTTTGGGTTGGTAAAGGAATGGAGCAGGCAGGAAAAGTCGAACTCACTGTTCTGTTGAAGGCAGCATTAAACACACAGGAGGATGTCCTTCTGAAAGGAGAGAGACTTCCCCAGAAAGAATGCACTTCCCAGCAAAGAGTAGAGTTTTGCCAAGTTTTCCATCTCGCGGGGGAAGTGTACAGCTGCTGATATTAGGATATTTTATTTCTGCCCTATTATTATTATTATCATTATCATTATCATTATCATTATTTTTATTTAATTTCTGTACTGCCTGTAGCCAAAGCGGTGTACAACAAGGACATGCTGTGCTTCTTCACTGCTCAGTTATACTCGTAGTCAATTTTATCCCAGTTGGCAGCATTTGTATTTTCCTAGATGATTAGCATTCCTCCGTTTGACGTCTTTTATCTGAAAAGAGCCCACTTGGGCCCATAGCGCTGTTCTCCTGGACAAAATCAGTGCTGATCATTAATAAAATTATTGTGTTAACTTTTATACAGGTAAGCTGCTTGTATTTAGACTTTCGCTGTTTTTCATTGTCACGTGATGCTGCATTTTCACTACAGTATTTCACTACAGGCGTGTGTATATTTGAGCTGTAATTGGTTGTACAGTTAAGACTGTTTCCCTAATAATTTAGGTAAATGAATACCCAAGACGTGTTCCAGGGAGGATGGGAGCATACATACCACATTCTAGGTTCTACCCTTGAATATTTCACCTTTTTATCTGCTTTTCACTCCTGTCACTCTTGTTTCTGTTTCTTGCTCTGTCTTCCTCTTACTTTCTGACTTCCTCTCTTTCCTCCTCTGTAGGCTCTGATGTTCTTTACATCGGCCCAGTGAAAGGTGAGCCCCATGTGGGTAGGATTTCTCCTTTCCTGTGACTTCCTTTTGGCTTTTTTCTTACCAGTCCAGCATCTACGTGAATCTGAACATCTTTATGCTGCAGGACCTTGCTAGCTAGTTTTTGCTTCCACAGTGTCGTAGGTGTTTGTGGCACGAAGTGGGGAGGAGATTCTGAGTCTTGTTTTTGATTGGGCCAATATAGTACTAAGAAAATTCTAAATGGATGTAGAGTTGTTTTGGACATTATGAGAAGCAGGGCATTTGGGGACCATGCCTGGAAAAATCTGAGCTTCACTGGCTATCTGAAGATGCAGGTTCCTACTTTTGGGCATTATCTTGGAAACCGGACTTGGATTTGCCTGCTGTTTCCATAAGAAATGAGAATCCTGCTGGATCACAGTGCAGGTCTTTCTGATCTGGCATTCGGTTCGTACAGTAGCCTTTGGGAAACCCATAAGCAGGACAAGAGTGCAGTCGAACCCGCTGCTTAATTCTGTACTGTGTGAAGAAGTACTTCCTTTGGTTTGCCCTGAATTTCCCAGCAATTAGTTTCATTGAATGTTTCTGGTACCCAGCAGTAGGACAGAAAAACTTCCCCCTGTCCTGCCCTGCATATTTTAATGCATGGCTGTTATGTCCTCCCCCACCCCCACATCACCAGTTTTCTAAGCTTTTTCACAGGATTTTTGTTGGAAGCCTTTTGAAAGCCCAAGTCAACAATGCCAACTAGATCGGCCCTATGCACGTGATGGGAGAGGCCAGTGAGATGGGATTTCGCTTTGCAGAGATTATATTGCCTTTTCTTCAACAAGACTCATCTTCGTCACACTCCCTGTATCTCGCAGTATTGGCAAATGCTCTCGCTGTCGTCATCTCCCCTACAAATGCTGAGTTGTGGGGCTGTTTAAAGTTATAATTTCTGCTTTGTATTTGGTGACCTGAACGTGGAATGCTAACTTGATCCTAACTGTATTCTCCTCTCTAACTTAGGGAGCATTTACTCAAGCCCTGGGCTGTATAGCAAAACCATGACACCAACATACGATTCTCATGACGGGAGCCCTTTGTCCCCAACTTCAGCTTGGTTTGGAGATAGTGCTTTGTCAGAAGGGAATCCAGGTATTCTTGCCGTCAGCCAGCCAATCACCTCCCCGGAAATCCTAGCCAAAATGTATAAACCACAGACACTTTTGGATAAGGCCAAGATCAACCAGGGGTAGGTTTTAAAAGCTTATTTTAGTTGCTTATCTTCTTAAAAATACTGTTCCGTAATGACTAAGCCAGTGCTTGCTTTCTGTGTTGGCAGGTGGCTGGATTCTTCAAGGTCACTTATGGAGCAAGATGTGAAGGAGAATGAGGCTCTGCTTCTTCGGTTCAAATACTACAGCTTCTTTGATTTGAATCCTAAGGTACGCAGTCCTGTTTGCTGGGATTTTCGGCAGGGGAGGGGCGAGCGAGGCAGGCAGAGAGATGTGCGCAGCAGAATCCCAGGATTCAGAGGAAGTGTGTGGCGTGCCCCACGCTTGGTCGCAGCGCACAGGCCTGGCTGCCTTTTCCTGGCTGGAAACTGAATGCCCTCTGTTTCTCACGGGCTACTGCCATGATTTTGTCTTGCCCTCTAGCAAGCAAGTTCTAATTCCTCTGTTAGATTAAGTCAAGCTGGATAAGAAATCTTCTGAAAATTACAGTATGTATTTTTCTGTTCCTTAAGCTAGCCCAAAATTATGGCTTCGCTATTCTTTTTTTTTTTTTCTTTGCTTTGCTTTGCTTTTCTATCACAGTGAGCACGGAGAGACAGGTGTAGTGTGATCGTGAATGAGGGAAATAATCACCTGTAGCTTGGTGGGAGGGTCATCTGGGTAAGGCAGTGTCTGCTCAGCATTCCTTCCCTTGGGTGGAAACCAGAAAAGGGGTGGCCTGGGCAGCAGACCAGCCTAGCCTTCCTATGGAATTCTTCTATGGAACTTCCAATAGAAGGGTTGGGGGACATTCGGCACTCTAAATCGAATATACTGGTAATCCAAGTGATAAGCTCAGTACCGCTTGCTGTTAACTTGCATGAATGATCAGAATCATCACAGTAACCGTAGCATGAAGCTCCAACTGTCGGAAGCGACTTGTCTGCAAGAAACTTCATCTGCCAATGTCTGGAAGAATCACCACGCAGTTAGACTAAGTCAATAAGATAAAGTTTAATTGCGTGTAAGGTTAGAAAATGTAAGATTGGGGAATTGGTTTAAGACGATTGGGACAGGTGGGTTCTTCTGAGCTGTCCCATCCCGGCTCCCTGACACTAAGGCAATAGTCCCAATAGGAAAGGTTTACTGCTGCAATCGCGTTAATGAGATGCAGCTTCCACAGAGGCCACAAATTCCGCACAAACAGGGGGTTGGGGGCCAAGGAGTCACGGCCATGAATTACATTGGAAAGAAGACGAACGGGTGCAGATGCAGGAAGAGTTGCTCTCCGCCTCAGTTCCACAGCACTCCTGTTCCAGGCAGGCTGACAAGCGTCCCAGGGCTGCAGAGCCTCACGACCTCTCAAGCTTCCCGGCAGCCGCGCAGGTGCATGCGCACAGCAGCTGGCTCGTGGAACGGCCACTGGGCACTTGGCCCCGGCAGGGAGACCTGCCCTGCAACGCTCTCTGCGCGGACAGGAGGTGTTCTGTTGGGGTACTCTTTCTGCTGGCAAGCAAATGAACTCTCCCATTTCGAATTGACCCGCGAGTAGCAGCTAACGGTGTTGGAGCGCACAAGGATAGCTCCGTGCCATAACTTGTCGACTGCAAAACATCCCAGGCGCCCGGAGGCATGGCCTCGCACCAATGCCGTGGTTCTGTTCCAACAGTACGATGCAATCCGAATCAACCAGCTGTATGAACAGTCAAAATGGGCCATTCTTTTGGAAGAAATAGAGTGCACGGAGGAGGAAATGATGATGTTCGCAGCATTGCAGGTGGGTGGAAAGGCCCGAAATCCAACTCTTTTCTAACTCTTAGTTTTTACCATCCTAACATTTATGGGCTACATCAAAAATGCGGGAATCTTTGACATGCTGATGTGCTTAAGTTCTTTGTGTTGCCCCATATTCCTTTGGAAGCCAGAACATTAAGTTCTAACAAATCTTGGCTAATTTCCCATTGTACAAAGACTGCTTCTACCTTTTTAGGTAATTTAAAATACATTTGCTGCCTTGCTATGTCTCAGGCAGAGGCATTTGGATTCTTTTTCACAAACATGTTTCTATCCATCTTTACTTCTCATTGGCTTTTAAACAAATACTTTAACCAGCAGTTAAAGTACATTAGGTTACTGAGCCACAAGGTTCTGGCACTCAGCCTCTCAAGCAGCTTGTGATAATCCCTGGGTTTCCCAGAAATATCTTTCCTTTTCCCCTTCTGTAGAACAGAAAGCTTTGTGCCATTTACCATGCATAAACATTCCACCTACAAAGTTGAATGCTAACTCAGAAGTAGTTAGTTTCTGATACAGAACTTCAGTCTTTTAATTTGCTTTCTCTTCCCTGTTGTTTTATACCGGCAGTTAAACGGCTCTCACTAAACTTGTTGTTTGCTAAATACATGGTTTGATTATTATCCCTTGTTTCAGAAGTTGGTATAGAATTATCAGAAGCAACATAGAATAATTTTAGAATAAGAAAAGGGGAAATTGCAACCACTGCAGGTTCTCTATTAAGAAATTTATTTATTTATTTATTAAAACATTTCTATGCCGCCCCTTGCCGAAGCCTCGGGGCAGGTCACAACACAAAAGAAAATACAATAAAATATAAAAATAACAATATAAAATTAACAATATAAAATAAATAACAATATAAAAGAAGTCACCCTGGCCAGATGAATAAGCAGATATTGTTAACAATTAAAATGACGCTTAAATAAAAAGGTCTTCGCCTGGCGCCGAGAAACAAATCCCATTTCGTGCTAGCAGAGTTGCATAGAACTTCTAGGAGACTCGAAGGATTAGCCAGTTCTCAGTTCCTTCAGGGTAATACCAGTATGTGCTGGGTGAAGCAGCCTTATCAGGTGATATTCCACACTGGTAGTTCCCTTGCTTCCTTGTACCACCCCATATGTGAAGGCGATCATTTAGAAAAATTGGGGACAAGGGGAAATTGGGTCTTGCGAGGTGTTCCTTCTGCAAAACTTTCTGCTCCTAAGAAATGTAACAATGCGGTTATTGTAGAGCTGGAAGGGGAATCAGGAATATAAATTTCTGCCTAAAAAACTAATTTTGCAGTTAGACTCAACAGCGTGAAGCACGTGCGCACCCCATCTGCTGACTCCCAGCTGTAAAATAGGCTTATGCCCAGGTGTGCTAGAAGGGGTGTGGTAAGCGCAGCCTTATGACCGCTCGCTTTGGCTGGGTCCAAGAAGTTGTGTCCCTCGTTGGTTGCGCCAATATAGATTTGAGAGCTGCAGGCAGAAACAAGTGGAATACGTGCAGAAGAGCTTGTGGTGAGAGGAGATGTAACATTTCCCTGTCCTGTCCTCCTACACTCTTACCAGAATAACCTCACCCACATTACACAGCAGCTTCACAGGAAGGCACCCGGCAAGACTTTGCCCGCTGTGGCTCACCAGGAGAGGGAACGGTGCACCCAGGGGTTTGGCTTGAGTGCGCGTTGTCTCCCCTTGATTCAGCTCGCCGCTGTCTCCGCTTGGCTCATCCACCCACCCATCCGTCCGTCTCTGTGCTGACAGAATGGGTTTCCAACTGATTTGTTTCAGTACCACATCAATAAGCTATCCATCATGTCCTCTGAGAATCACTTGAACAACAGCGACAAGGAGGTTGATGAAGTCGATGCTGCCCTTTCTGACCTGGAGATCACTCTGGAAGGCGGGAAGACATCCACAGTTCTGGTAAGAGCCGGCGCAGGAGCTTAATCTTGCCCAAAGAGCACACCTCGCCCAGCATGTCGGGCTGGTGGTTGGGAGGCGAGTTTGCGGGCGTGGGATGGGGTGCAGAAACAGGTTCCTCAGGTGGAAGGGCCAGGCTGGAGAGTCCACTGCTTTTACAGGGCACAGTGGGATGCGGCTGGCCTCCTCCGTGGCCTGATCCCGGCCACTGGTCACTGCCGTGCCTGCAGCAAGAGGCCCCGCTCCACCTTCCTCCCTGTGGCGTGCAAGCAGGGCCTTTGCGTGAAGGACCACACAAGTCCTCACACGTTTCCTTGCGATGCGAGACATGTCAGCGGCTTTCCGCTCGGCACGCCTCTTGTTCCACAGCGAGTGGGCACCGTGCATCGGCCGTGCTCGTGCGTTGCTCCGTTAGTGCCGGTGTGGCTCGTGCAGGAGGTAGGAAGTAGGCTCCTTACGGAACACGGCGGTTCAAGCTAAGATGGGACGCAAGCGCTCTTTGCTTGCGCGAGCTGGCACCACCGAGGAATCCCACAACGTTTTTGCCACGCACACCCCTCGCCGATCATTCGGACTCTTCATAAGTCACCGTTTCTCTGTAAATGGCGCTTTCCACCCATCAAAGATACATTCCCTGTGGATGTGCTAAAGTACAATTTTTACACAACTGGTTATCCTGGGATGAAAGCAAGGTGCCTTTGATGTCACTTATCTTTCAACTCTGCTCAGTCTCCCATTCATCCTCCTTACCAGAGACGCCAGGATAACTGTAAAACAAGCCCATGGAGAATGTGCGCCGGTTTTGTTGGCGCGTTCCCATTTAGTTCTTTTGCCTGTGGTGGTGACGGTTTTGCCCGCCTTAAGTTCTTATGCGTACCTGTTAAGCTTTTCCCCCCGGATACGAGACTTTTCTCCCCTAGTTCTTCCCAGCAACTTAACTCAAAAAGTCCGCAGCCAACAGCAGAGCTCACTCATGTCCCAGGCGTGGGGCCAGCGAAGGCAGCAGAGGGAGCTGAGGGCTCTTCTAGAGAGGCCCTGGCAAGGGAAAACAAGCAGTGTTCTCCTGAAAACAGGCAGTTTACGGTGGGCATGCACCGCTGGCAGTTTTAAAAAGTCCCGGGAGATGCAGAGCCACCTACATTAGAATGAGCTTTGCTGGCTTAATCAGTGCAAACGTCGTGTGAGGGCCTGGGCCAGCCATGGGGACAAACTAAGCGACACTCCCAGCCGTCCTGTAACAACGGGTGCAAAATGATTGGGGTGTGGGCTGCATCTGGCCTGCCAAGCTGCTTCGGGATCGGCCTGCCACGCACCCCTGATGTCCCAGCCACTGGAAACAGGATCACAGCTGTATTCCTGTGGATTTCCCTGGTTACTGCAGGCAGGGGAACCCCTCATCTCTGGCCCCTCCACAGGCTTTGGAGTTAGGAAAGTTCCATTGGTCGTCCTAGCAGATTAGCCCCTTCCGTACCTGCTGGGCACATGCCTGTGTGTCTGCGTGCCGGTCCCCGGAGCCCACAAAGTGGTGACATCACTGCTCTCGTTGCTCTGGTCATTGTATTTCTATCCCACCCAATTCAGGGCGGTTTACAGAATCTCCTCTCCTCACTGTGATCCAGAGTTGCATTTAATCAGTTCCCTCATGCGTTCTTCACAGAGGGATGCCATTCAAATGCAGGCTTGTGCTCTCACGGAAATTCAGCCCAAGCGAACCCTGCTCTTTCTGTTGCCATAAAAGCTGTGCCCCCACTGGGGGAGGCTCATTTCAGGCACAGAGAACTCTTCCTCTAGAAACACACTGGTATTTGGACAGATGGAGCCGGGAAAATAGCAGCTGGCTTGGCAAAACAGAGCCGTGAGTGCGACTCGGTGATCCCCTTTGCCTGGAGTGTGAGCGCCACTGAGAGCTGTCTCAGTGCAGCCCTTTGCCATTAAAGGGGCTCCTCGCTGGCGAGGGCAGGCCCCTCTTGGCCTGGTCTTCCGATCGCTCAGCAGCTGAACGAGAACCAGCGGCATCTCCTGCCCAGGGCGGGGGAGGCGAGGAGCTCAGTGCAGTCCCTCATTTCAGAGCCAGAGCACTTCTTTTAAGGACAACAGCTGTAAATAGAAGTAGGGGTGTGCTCGGCTTTCCTTACTGTTTTCCCCGTGCCTACCAGTATCTGCTTAAAATTTGCAGGCAGGCATTTTCCAGCACAGCTTGGATGTGCCTCAGCCGTTAAGTAATTCTGAGTCGACTCTCCTGTTTGCTTGTTTCATGTCTACACCTCCCCACAGCTGAAGCTCTCCGGGCACTTTATACAGTCCATAAAAACAGATGTTACAAGTACAATGAAAATATCAGGGGGAAACCTTAAAAAATTTAAACGGCTAAAAACAGATCATAAAAACAGACCGTAGCAAGGAATAACAAACATTATTTGTGAACACAAGGAGTGTCTTGCTGGAGTATATGAGGACAGAGTTCTTTGGAAGCATTTCACTGGCTCCTGGTGACCCTTCAGCAGTGGCTCAGAGGGTCACCGTCCACCGTCTGCTCATTCCTGCCTTCAGCCAGGCGAATTGGGCCTGTGTTCGGCGTGCTTCCCCACTCCTTCACACCGTGCTGTGGAGAACTGGGGTGGTCCTGCCGTGAGGACCGTGTGAGTGGCAGCTGGCTTGCCAGGTGCGGTCTAGCCACGGAACTCCCTGCCACTCTGGGCTGGGGGTGGGCTTGCATGAGGGGGCAGCGGTGGGGTGGGATGTGACAGGGGAGGGACCTTGGCACCAGTGGTGGGCTGCAGCTGGAGGTCTCCATTGGCTAGAAGTTGCCCAGCTGTGACTTGAGCAAACTGTCAGTAGGTGGAAAGCTCCTGAGGTTGTTGCTGTAGCCTCCCCCCCACCCCCCGCTTTCCTCCTCCTCCAGCAAGGGCATCGCCTTCCAGGAGCGCTTTGTGCAACTCTTTAAGTACATTGTCCCCAGAGCGCTTCTGGGCCCAGCCCGGCCCTCTCTGGGCTCTCCCCTGGGTCTGGCGCACTAACGCAGCGGCTGTGGTCTTGTTCGCAGGGTGACATCACTTCCATCCCAGAGCTCGCGGACTACATTAAAGTGTTCAAGTAAGTAAACGCCGGGGAAACTGGGCAGGCAGAAGGTCAGTGGAGCTCAGCGATTAAACACGGTGATGCCCTCATGCATCTGGCAGCACCCACAGCAGCCTTTCCCAGCTCGGTACCCTCTGGACGCTTTGACCTGCAAATCCCAGGGCTCCTGACCCGTTGGCCCAACAGGTCTTGAGGGCAGCAGGCTGAAAAAGGCTGGTCCTGAGGCTCTTCTCTGGAAGCGAAAGCGACGTCTAATTTGTGTACTCAGGATTTGGTTAGAAGCAGGATTTGGTTAGAAATAGAGATGCCTTAAGCATCTTAGGCTCCCTGCTGTAGCATTTATGGACAGTGCTAGGACTTAGTCCTAGACAGAACATGTGCGGAATGCATCTACTTTGCCAGTGGCTTGCCAGCAAGCTGCTCTTGTTCACATACTTGGACTGAAGCACAGGGAAAGGATTCGCATGACGCTCTGGCTTCCCCCAGGTCACCCCGGGCGCTGTGTCGATAAGGATGCCATCACAAGGCTTAAGGACTTCCAGATCACAGGGTACAACTTGCAGGGTGGTTTAGATAATGTTAGACAATTTAGCTAGTTTGAGTTCTTTCTACTCCTTAAATCAGTAGCCTGTGCTGAGGTGTTTGCATAATTGGCAGCCTTCTCTGCTATCCTGAAATGAGGGTTTGTGGTGCATAGTTTAAAATAATACTCAGGTACCTTTCTTGGGCTTCAAGGCCATGTGGGCGGATAACAGACATAATTCCAGACAGTTGAAGATGCCTGTTTAAGATGCCAGAAAAGATCTGCTTTAGGCTAGCTGTGCTATTCTTTAGTCAGATTTATTTTGATTTTTAGGTAAGACTTTTTATTTAGGGAAAAAAGGGAGAGTATTATCTTGGATCAGGGCATGTGGAAACTGGAACCATTTGTGTCTGGACTTTAACTAATGTTTTGGCAGTCTTACCCGTCTGATGCAAACTAATACCTATCAGGCTAAGGATATGGAAATGATTTTGGATCTGATATAGAACAGTCTGATGAATACTTCCAGGTACGTAGTGGGAGCTGAAAGCTGTCAGGGCAGAGGGACAGCAGAAAGAACAGGGGCTGCTTTACGGGCCACGGATGTTCTTTGGAAATGCCCAAGTAGCCATGTTGCCTTTGCCGTGTGCTCTGGACAGCTGCTTGCTACGTCCCCCAGTTCTTTTTATACTGTGGGCAGGAGGACTAGAACTGCAGGCTACCGATTTAAGGAGTAGAAAGGACCCAAACTAGCTAAATTATCTAACACCATGTAAAACCTTTCTGGATCATTTCCATGCATACTCCAAGCCTTGTCAGAGTTAGTCCGAAAGCAGAGGTGGGGGTGTGGAGTGGATGGATACACTCAGATCACCCTCCGCGGAACTTCCTGGCTGTTCTCTTCCTGCCTGACCACGGATCTTGCAGACAGACTCACGTCGGGGCTTGGTGCCCCGGAGAAGGCCTTGTCTGGTGCTGCAACAGAAAGCGACACAGGAGGACAGAGCCGAGGAACTACGTGAGGCGTCTGTTGAATCGCACGCCCAAAAAGTGTGCGCCTCGTGTAAACAGCAGCCATTTCCCGCCCTCCACAAGGACTTTCCCCATTGTTTTATCCGTCAAGGATTTCCTGCCTGACTGCGGCGGAGTCCTTGAGCAGGCTGCTGCTCTGTCAGAGCGCTGGTTGAGATCCTGGGGCTAGCGGTCAGTCAGTTTGCACCAGCGGGAAGGGATTGCGGCTTTGCGTCGCTGGCTCAGCCCTCTGCTACGGCCACGCGCTGCAGCGAGGATCCGTAATCGCCGCAGAAGCAGGAAAGGGGTCTGCCCCAGTGAATCTCGTCAGGGAGCCCTCCCACCACGCGGGCGACCCACGGCACGAGCTGGTCCCCTCTCCCCATCACGTCGTGGCTTGCCTTCCCGCGGGCGAGCGGTGCCTTTCAGAAGCAGAGGGGGGCGGTTGGGAGAGAAGTCTCATGAATGGGGCATTTTGATGATTTGCCACTCAGGTGGAGGCCTGGCTGACATGGGGTGGGGCATGATCTGTGGGAGAGCTGGGCCGACTCTCATGGTTGTTCCGGGTCCTGCTGAATACACGGACCAACAAACCGTCTGACTGCATTTTAAAGACTAACAAAAGTGCAGAGGTACAAGTTTTGGCGGACTAGTTTTCCGTGAAAGCTTTTGCCATCATACATGTGCAAGTCTTTAAGGTACCGCGAGGTCCTTTGTCGTGTTGCACAAGATCAACACAGCTTCTTTGTCGTGGTCTCTGCGTCACACACACATGGGTGCTGCGCAACAGATTAACACAGCTTCCCCACTGGAAGTTACACATACGAGGAAGCGGAAATCCTCACTCTGACGGAGCCCTGCTTTTGTGTAATTGCCATCCCTTCCAGGGGAAATGTTGGGGCTCAGTGCGTATGCCCAGCACAGCTTAAAGTCACTTCCGTTGACCCTGAATCGCACACCACGTGTGCTGGGTGAAGGCACAGAGGGTTTCTGCACAGTTTCCGCAGCCAGCAAGGAGATGCTCGCTTGCCCGTGCAGGAGCCTGGTGCGAAGGGGCCCCCACCCTGCTCAGCCAGGCCGCCAGCCTTGGGAGTCACAGTGCCCCTGCTCCACAGGCCAAAGAAGCTGACCCTGAAGGGCTACAAGCAGTACTGGTGCACCTTCAAAGACACGTCCATCTCCTGTTACAAGAGCAAAGAAGAATCCGGCGGGACTCCTGCTCACCAGATGAATTTGAGGGGTAAGAGCACGCCGGCCGTCTTCCTGGCTCAGCTGTGCATGCATTGTGCATTGGACATTTTGTTCCTTTTACATCCTGCCGCCCTTTCGATAAGGAGGTGCTGGCGGAGTTCACCGCATGACAGCCCATCCTGGCCACGAGCCACGGTGCGCTGGTTGTTTGTCAGCCGGAAACGGTTGCTCCGCTTCCCCTCCTTCCCCCTTGTTCCTCCGGGCAGTTTCCCTGGGACATGGGAGGAGCCGCCTCTCTCTGACCACAGCTGCCGGAGAATCCCCAAAGCACAGGCGTTGGGCTCCCAGTTCCTCCCAGTGGCGGCCCCCTGCGTGGTCTCCCAGCCAAGGCCTGATCTGAACTCGTAGCACCTCATGTCTGGCGCCTGCTGGGGCCAAAAGGGATCCAAGAACTTCTTTTTCCTCGGTCCCCATCGTGCAAACAGGCGCCTGCCTCAAAGCACCGTGCGGAGGACGGAGGACGGCGGAGCTGGTCAGGCCCCCTGCCCGTCCGGCTGGCAGCGATGCCTCCGCCAAGCAGCTTCCCGGCTCCCGCCTCGTGCCTGGAAGGTCTGTTCTTGGGCAGGCGGGGGGGGGGGGGGGGGCTGAGCCACGCACCAGCGGGGCCACTTTGTGGAGGGGGCTGCACTGCCAGCTGGATCTGACCCCCACCTCCCGCTTCAGAGATTGACTCGAGGGTCTCCATGGTGGGCACCTACCATGTTGTACCTGCAAGTCACCCACTTCCAGGCGTTCCAGGATTGCAATTTGCCTTTTAAAAAGGGGTTAAAAAAAACTTTTTAAAATGTTGCCTTTTAAAATTGTGCGTGTTGCTTCAAAGGGAGAATGCATTTCCCCCCACAACCATAGTGCTCACATTCTTTTAGAAGATGCAGATGGAAATGAAGTCTTTGAGCAACCAAATCAGAGCATAAGCTTCTATCATACAAATAATGCCTTTTTATCACACAATAGAATTGCTGTTTTCCAGGCATTCCCCTCTGTCCCCTTTAGTGTGCTAAAGACACCCAGCTTCGCCGAGATAACATCTGCAAGGAATTTATGCTGCATCTGACACTTCTAAGCTATCGGCTCCGCTCATATTTGGCAGCGAGGCTTCTAGCTTGGAGGGTTGTGAAACAGGCATTGCTAACATCCTTCCTTGCCTTTTTTTAAGCCTTTGAGGCAGAACAGAGAGGCTGCCAGATGACCTCAGACTGCAGCTACGAGGATGTGAGCAAAGGAAGGAAAACATGGGATAACCTTTTTGGGAGCTTTTTTAACAAAGCTGCTGCTGACTGAATTTTAAAGGAATTCTGCAGGAGGGGCTGAAGTAGAGCTAGAATTGCTTCCAAGAAAACGTATTCCTTAAAATAAAATAAAAAAAAAACCCTCCTGTAGCCACCCATGGAGGGTCCCCCAGATAAAATGTCACTGTGGTTTTTCTTCTCCCCCTCAATGTCAACAGCCTTCAGAAGTGCTGGTGCAGTGTTTATTTTATTTTGAATATTTTTATCCTGCTCCTCGGCCTGGAATACCTTACAAATAATCAGAAAAAGAAGACAATTCATACCCTTTATGCTCATAATGTAAAGAGACTTGGTGCTCAAGGAAGAAGGACAAGGGAGGGAAGAGGGAAAAGTGAACTCTGCTGGAGTGGCTGTTGGTGGAAATCGTTGGGAGAGGAGGAACATCAGTGGAAGTGGTCTCTAGGGCTGGCAGACTGGCCCCACTCTCCCCTCCCCTCCCCTCCCCTCCCCTCCAGCACAGCTCTCGTACTTGTCAGGGAGACGCCACACCTTGTGTGGCCCCTCCTGTGTCTTCTTGGGGGCAGCTTTGCTAGGGGAAACCCCTAAACCCAAGCCCCACTGCAGTCAGTAGGGCCGACTGCGTGCACGCAGTGAATTTAATATCTCTCTCAGCCTCAGTGAGCATTTGGACGTGCCTGGCTTTCTCCGGCTTGGATCTGTAACATGGAAGCAGGTCCCATTGATGCCGGGGCAATACATCCATGATGGCATTTTGAGGTACCCTGTCAAAGCAGCGTTGTCTCCATCTTACAAGCCGCCGTTCGGAGAGACACAGGCTGCCGTTATATAAGCCCGCTGGCGGGCTTGCACACATGCGCTCTGTCACACCGGGAGCTTAGCACTGAGCGTTTCCATAAATTGTGCACCATCCCCTTCGCACACTGAAATCTTGGGGGGCCTGCCACGCCACACTGCTTCCAGCAGTGGCAGTACGAGGGCTCCCCGGGGGGCTTCACGGCCCCTCCAGCAGCCTGCATTTTGGAGGGTGGCGCATGTTGCTTCCCGCCGCCCAGCACAAATCAGTGGACCTGGCGCACCTCTCGCCGCCTGCTGGGGCTGGTGGGGGAGCCGAGGGGGACATTCTGTGCCCCCCTCGAAGCCTGGGAGCAGAGGGGCCAGATAAACGCGGCGAGCAATGCCCTGCGGCGCACTCTGGTTAGGCCTCGCTGGTGCTTTGGCCCATCCTAAGGGGAAGTGGTTAACCAGGGAGAATTGTGGATACTATTGTGGGTTAAATATAGGGTAGCTTATTTTCTTTCCTTCCCAGAGCATGCTTTTTACATTTCCAGGCTGTGAGCTTTAAGTGGTTTTCCCACCGAACATAAAGCCTAAAGTTAGAGAATCTGAACGAAGCGACTGCCCCACCGTTTGACGGGGCCGAGTTCTGCGTTCTTTGGCAACACAGATGGGCCCAGTGCAGGCCAGCAGACTTTTGTGGGCGTTTCAGATGGGGGGGGGCGCGAGGAATTTCCTGGTCCTCTCACTGCCCCTGCTCCACAACAGCGGTTTTGCGAATTAATGTGCAGCAGCAGTTCCTTCACCAGCGCTGGTGGTCTATTGGAGCGGCAGGGCAAGGCTGCTCTGCCATGTCTGTCCCATCTGCAAGCAAGGCTGTTCTTCTGGCTCTGCGTTTGCCCTCCTGTCCCAGGGTCGTGATCTGCATCTTGTGTCCAAAGATGTTGAATTCAGGCATGAGCTGAATTCACAAGGGCGAGTATTTTGCTCCGGTCCTTGTGCCCTGCCGTTAACCGTTTCCTGCCCACAATGAACTGGAGGCACATGTCTACCAAACCTCTCGGCAAAGTACAAAACTGCACGTCTTTTATTGTAGGGTGCGAGGTGACCCCTGATGTCAACATTTCTGGCCAGAAATTCAACATAAAGCTTCTGATCCCCGTGGCTGAAGGCATGAATGAAATTTGGCTCCGTTGTGACAACGTACGTTTAACGGGAGTGGGCTGTCGAAGGCCAGCTGCGGCACGTCCTCGGTTGTGCGGGGGGGGGGGGGGGGGCCAAATGCAGGGTCTGGTGAAAATGAGAATGGATGCGTCCGCTTCCATTCTATTCCACCTTTGCTCCAGGGAGCCTGTAACCTGCCTCTCCGTGTTACTCCCACAACCGCCCTGTGCGGTAAGGTAGGCTAAGGGTCAGTGACTGACCGAGCGGGGAAGAGAACCAGAGTAGTACCACTCTCATTGAGAGACCACACGGGCTCACTCAGTTGCACCGGGTGTGCCGCCACGACCTGACACTTCTTGCAGGGTCCTGGACTTTGGCATTTTGAAAATCACGATAATAGTAAAATGGAAAACTTCTGCCAAAGTATCCACGTGTAATTGTGTGTATCTGCATGCTTAAGGACAGATGTGATGCATCAAGTCCCTCGGCCGCAGACTGTAGCAGCTGGCCATAAACGAGACCCCAAATAGGAGTGATACTACTGGCCTACCCTGCAGGGTTGTACAGCTGCAGGCACTCGATGTTCCGCTTTACCAGGGATCAGCGTTACGACGTGTGCGCTAGCTGCTTAATGCTTGCATGCGTAACTGGTGCGCGATGGGCCCTTTCCTCTCTAGTCGGTAATGCTATCAGCACGTCCTTAAAGAACGCCCTTCCCTGCGTTTCCCAAGATGCTCAGCCTTGCGCTTTCCGGCATCCTCGGAGGCAGGACGAACCTCTGGCCTTCCCTTTGGCTTGCAGGAAAAGCAGTACGCGCACTGGATGGCGGCTTGCCGGCTCGCCTCCAAGGGCAAGACCATGGCAGACAGCTCCTACAACCTGGAGGTGCAGAACATCTTGTCCTTCCTGAAAATGCAGCACCTGAACCCAGACCCACAGATCATCGCGGAGCAGGTCACCACGGACATCAACCCGGAGTGCCTGGTTTCCCCACGGTACCTGAAGAAGTACAAGAACAAGCAGGTACTCCCTCCGGACCCTCTGTTCTGAAGGCAGGTGCTTGCTGCTTGCCGGGGTGGGACGACCCGCAGGCCAGACGGAAGCCCGGCAGGGGGGGCGATCCGCTGACTGGGCAAGGGGGGGATGTCCCCCCACTGAAGGACGGGGCCCGTCCCTTGTTGCTTCTCCCTGGCTTAGCTGCGCCCCCGTCCAGGGAAGGTGGGCCGTGCCTCTCTCAGGCGCAGCACGGCTAGACCCAGACTGGGCTCTGTGTGACGCAGAAACTTGAGCTGATGCAGAACGCTGGGGCTCCGCCTGTGTGGTGGTCGAACCACGCCACACCCAGCGCTGGTCGCCAGTGCATTTCTGGGTCCCAACCGGAGGTGCCTTACCATTACGCCTGTTGTGGCTATTCAGGACCACTTTGCTTCTCTCTTTCCTCGGGTCAGAACTGCAATTGTGAGCTCACTGGGGCAGGGATCTGTTCTCTCTCTCCCTCTCTTTTTCTATTACTGTGAAGCTGGGCATCAGTGACCCTGAGAATAAATAAGAAACTGCTAATCCCTTAAGAGAACCATGCTGCGGTCCCTACCCAAGTTTTCCGGGGACCACCGGTTGGCTCCCAAAGCCGCAGCGCAGCCCCGTCCCTGTCCTTGCAGCCAGCTGAGCATCGCCGAGGCTGGGAAAGCAGCCTTGGGCTGGGGAACAGTGGTCCCCCGGGGCTTGCTCCAGCCCTCCCTGCCCCAGGGAGCAGGGGCAGCATACGTTAGCCATGCGGAGAGCTAAAACCTCGCCTCAGACACTCTCCCCACGAGCCCGTTCCAGAGGGAACTGCCCCCCTCTTGCTCAGGGGGCCACGGCGGCTGCAGGCCTTCTGCCAGCGCTCGCTCCTCTTCCTGCATCCAGCGTCGCGAGGTGGCTGCGTGTGCCACAGCTGAGGCACCCGCCGGCACCAGGGCTTCCTGCAGGCTCCGAGCGCCGCTGGCAGGAGGATACGGCTGTTGGATGTCCCTTTGCTGGTGGCCCCCGTCCTGCAAGGCTGGGAATGGACGCGTGGCCTTGCTCTGGTCAGCCAGGAGAGGGCCCAGCAGCCGCCCCCGCCCACGGGGTCCGTAGCCTCTCTCAGCCGAAGGCTTGGGCGGCTCAGCCTCGGCACACGGGCCTCTCGGTCCCATGCAGCATTTACCACTCTCTTTTTCCCTACAGTTTGCAGGAATTGTTTATCCTCCCTGTTGCGTGTGGTTTCAGAAGGTTCTGCCACAGTCAGCAACTTTAGTGACGGAGTGGGGTGCTTTCCTCTTCCAGGGCAAAAGTTAAATTTCACTGGCCTTGTCTTCTCAAACTAGAGGCGTTCACTAATTCTTTGCCCTTGTGTCTGCTTACCAGCACCCAGAAAGATGCTTCGGGGAAACTTCAAAGTGAAGCTGTGTGATTTGATCAAGATAGGACGGGACACGAAGCACAGGTGCCCATTACATGAGGCACGTGCATATTTCGGCAAAGCAGCCGAGTTGTTGTGAAGGACTGATGGGCAGTTGCTGGAGACACACTTGTGCTTGAAATATTTCGAGGGCCAGCGTTTGGTCTCCGAATGCAGGCAAGGGGGTCGCCACCCGGAAGAGTCGGGCTGGGGGACCTGCTGCTGGCCCTGTGCGGCCGCTTCCTGGCAAGAGCGCTTCCCTTTGTACACAGCCCTCGTTTATGCTGAAAGAGCCGTCGTACGATGAAGAGAGATTGTATGTCTAACAGAATTATAACCTTTGAGGCAGAACAGACTTGGGCGTTCATGACGGGGGCGGGAGCCACAGCGAAGGAAAGGCTCTCGGATAGTTTGAAGCGGAGCATTAAGATGTATGGCCGGTCGTGCCGAGAGAGGCCGCCGTGGGGTGGGGGAGAAAGACGGCAATTCCGGCAGTCAGGGATCCCTGTGGGGTGGGAATCCCGTGAGGACGTGGGGGCTGTAACGTGGACTTGCATTTCCAGTGCTCTGCTGGGTAACTGGAACCGGGAGGGCCGTGTGGAGGCAGCGCTCATCCCTCCCTGTCCTGCTTGCCTGCTGCGCGGGAGGGAGTCAGGTGGCCAAATAAAGGAAGCGCTGCCTGCCTGGAATGTGCAGAATGCGGGCGATGCAGGCCGGGCGGCGGGGGGAGCTTGCTGCTCCTGCAGTAGCTGGCCGTGGGGTGTAAAACTCCGCAGCGCCCTGTGGTGGGAAGCCCTTTGCCCCTCCCATGGGCGAGCTCCCGCTCTTGGGCCGGGGGGTGGCTCGGCTTGCCCCGTGCTGGACGCGGGTGCCCGCGGCTGCGAATCGCGCTGCCCGGGTGCAGCCCTGAGCAGCAGAGGCCGCATTCTGCGCGGGTGTTGCTGGGGAGCTCGGCCAAGAGGGGCCCCTGCCCTGCTGCCAGGCCCACCCCCCCCCAGGCAGCTGTGCGTGCAGAATGCTGGCGTAGACGACCCTTCGGTCAGACGTTCTCCAAAGCCTTTCGGCTTATAGGGAAGCCCAGGCCGTGCCCTCAACCCGGGCAGCAGGCTCCAAGCATTAGTTCACGCGGAATCCTCCCAGGCAGGGGGCACTCTATCCCGGCAGCACGGGGGCTTCTCCCAGGCCTCTGCAGGGCTGCCAGAGAACGTTTCTTCCGCTGGAAGGGCTGCCAGGGAAGGAAGGCACTCCTCTGAACGATTCTTCATGCCTGATGTTTGGAGGTTAAATGCCTAGGCTGCAGGCTCTGTCCCGTGCTGAATTACTTTAGCGATCCCGGGCAGCATGTCGGCACGGGAGCTGGTGTAGCCCCGTCGGATGCCTGTGCCTGCCACTTCCATGCTTCTGGCTGGCAGTCCTCTGCAGCCACCGCGCCTGGCAGGAAGATCGGGCGGCGTGAACCGGCCGAATAAGAAGGGGTTTTACTTGGGAAACGGCGGCTTGGTTTGTGGTGCGAGAGCTGCGGTTTCCCAGCTGCACTTGCCGGTCCTGCGATGCTGCCAGTCCAGGCCCACGTGCGAGTTAGGCTGGCCCAGCCTTGGCATGCAGTGTTGTGTCGTTTGCTGCATCCACACCAACCGAAGAAGAGCGGGAACAGAAGTGGCTTTGCTGCCTGCGTTGTGGTGACTGCAGGGAGACGACTCTCACTGAGCGGCCACACCATAAAACATGCTGCAGGGTCCAGCTAGCCTGCCCGTGGTCTCAGTGCCATTCAGCTGTGCAGGGGGACAGAAAGGCGCAGTTAATTGTAAAAGCAAAATGTCTTGTGGCCGCTTAAAGATTTACACTCCCTCTTTTAATGCGGCCTGAGCTTTGCTGGACGAGGTTCCCCTTCATCAGACAGACGAAGCCTTATCTGAAAGAAATTAACTTTCCAAAGCTAAGAGGTTTGTTTCATCCGCAGGACCGCTTTACGAAAGGTCAGCATAATGGTTGCTTATTCCTCAAGTTGTACCAACATTGTCACAGTCGGTTCTGCTCGGGTTTTATTTTCCTCTAAATGCCACGTGTAAAATCCAGCCCCAGCACAAGCGTGTGTTTGTCCGGTACGACTATGCTGCCATCCTTGCGCACAGTACTCGATAAAGAACGAATAGGACAGCTCTCCGCCCCAAGGGGCTTCCAGTCTAAGACTAAACAGAAGGGAAGGTGAAAGTGGAGGCACATTCAAGTAGGAAAGGCCTGTTTCAAATACAGTGATGAAATAGGAAACAAGAGGGTGATCCAGAGACTTCACAGAAAGGGTCGGTTTTGAGGAGGAACCTGAAGGAAGCAAGGGCTCTGCCATCCACGCCAGGGAGCAAGGAAGGGGAAACAGGACACGTCACTTGAAGTACAGGAGGCCTGGGGGCAGCAGGGGGGCGGGGGATGGACAGCAGGCGCAGGAGGGGCTGTGCAGCAGAGGGGGGAGGAGAGGCCAAGCCAGGTGAGGAAGGTGAGGCCAAGCGAGGTGTGCAGGATCAGGAGCAGGGCAGGAAGCAGGTGGTTTAAGGAGGGAACACCGAGTCGGAGGAGAGGGACCGACGAACCTCTGTGATGCGTTTGTCACCAAGGTGGCTTTTTTGCTGCTGCTGCTGCAAAGTTCTCGGGCAACAGTGCTGCTCTTTCACTTATTCTGGGATACTTTTAATCTCATGCTTTGGTCTGATAGTTCTCTTCCCTGCTCCCGTCATGTGGATCTGGAAATGAGGTGCGGGAAATGGCAATTACACTGAAACGTTTCTGTACTTGTTCCACAATTGGAGATGACACTCAGCATTTGTGCTCCATTGGCTTTGGTTTTCCATTTCACAGGAACTGTCGCCCTGAAAGTGTAAAAGAGTATCTCAGAAAAGACGGGCTGCTTCAGAGCATTGTGAGCCCCAGAAAAGAGCCCAGAGACTCCCTTTCATGGCCTCGCTGTGCTGTTTGTACGCCTTTTTTCATGCTCATGTTCATTTCTTGCCGCTTTTCTCCTCAGGAAAGTTGTCTGGAAGATTTGCAGTGTGGTTGTTTGTTTGTTTTTAAATTGGTTTGAACTATTCTTGTTGCTGATAATTTGCACATTTCCCCCCCTTTGCTTTGTTGCCATATTTCTGATTGCTTTTTTTTCCCTTTCTTGCTTCCTTTTCTTTTCCTCGCATTTGCCTTCTGCAGCCAGGCTATGTAAGAGACTTGGTAAGTGACGGCAAACATAAACAAGCGCTTGAGATGTCTGTTGTTCGCTAACGCGTGCTTTAAAAGCAGGGGAGAGGTTCTCCCAGATCCTCCTCCAGAAATGCAGCATGTGTTTTGCGACCCGGGCGCTTTGGTGTGATTTGACTCTGTGTGGCCACCTTGTGAAACGAAGGACTTGTGTCCCCCTGCGTTCAGACGCCTGTCTCCCCGCCGCCTGCTGTGGCGGCCGAGGTGCGCACCGTCCCTTCCCCTTCTGGCACTGACCTCCGAAAGGGCCGCTCCACAGCGCATACTTAACACGAGGAAATCCTGCTTCCCGGCTTTGCTGGCTTTACGAGGGGATTAGAGACCGGCAGTGACGCTTCGAGCGAGGGAAGCTCCCATGTCCAGGGTGACGTCGCTCTGGGGAGCAGCCGGCGGTGGAGAAGTGGGGGCGGGGGGCCCGGCCCGGCCCAGCCCGCACGTTCTCCTCGTGTGTAGCATCCGGCCGGCCTGCTGCTGGAAACGGGATGCCGGTCTCGGTGGGCCGTGCTCTGCACTCTCGTGGCTGCTCCGCATGCCTCGTGTCCGCTGCCACACGCAGTCCGTTAGGGCCCGCCCTGCCCTTCCAGCCGAGCGGGCGCTGGGGGCAGCTCACAATCAGAACAAAATTGCACTTAAAACGTAGCGTAGGATAAGCCTGTCAGTCAAAGAGTGATAATCGCAGACCAGGCAAAGCTCCTTGCCAAAGGCTTCTTGAAGAAAAACACATTTCCCTTGTGGGGAAGTCGGCGGAGGGGCCCAGCCACCTCTCTCGGCACGGAGGGGAGGGGCCGCCGCGGCACCCCCACGTCGGGCGGCTGCCGGTCCTCGCGGCGGAAGGCCGCCTCCGGGACCAGAGGCAGGGCACGCGGCACAGCGGCGGCTGGGGAGCATGGGCAGGGGGGTGCCTTGCGCTCGTGGCCGCGTGCGGGCGAGATGGACCCCGGGCCTGATCCTGCAGAGCTCCTCTCACGCTCGGAAGGACCCCCCCTTCCCGGGCGTGCAGGCCTGGGTGCTGTGGGAGAACCCCGTCCCGACGCAGCCGTCCCCGCCGGTCCCCCCGCCTCTCCAGGCCCGGGGGCCGCACGGGAGCACGCGGGGGTCGGCGGCAGCCATGGGAGGCGTTGCTCGCGAGGCCGGTTCTCGGGGTCCCGTCTCCGTCTTGCTCAGTGGTAAACTGTCAAAATAGCCGGGGCCTTAAACCAGTGCCCCCCCCCCACCAGTTTCATCATCCGACGTATCAACTCCGAAGGAACGGCGTGATGGCAGAGGGGCGCGAGACGAAAACTCTGGGGCCAGGGGCTAGCAGCGCAGGGCGGCTGTGGCCCGCCCGCCCGCCCGCACAGTGCCGTCCAGCATCGGCCCCCCAGCGGGAGCGGGGCAGGGCCTGGCCGTGCAGCGGCCGATGGCCCGGCTCTGAGCAGGCCCGGCGTCTGCAGCGGCTCTGTGGTGGCAGGCAAGGGGGGGGGCCGCAGCCCCTGCTCGCCTGAAGGCCTCGGAGCGAACAGCGGCGTAGCTGCTTTGCTGTCCTTTGGGAAGGCAAGGCGAAACCGCCGTCCTCCGCCCGTCCTTTTGCTGCCCCAGCCTTCCCCCTCCGGCCCCCCACCGGCTCGGACAAGGCTCTGGCAGGGCATCCGCCCTGTGTGTGCTCGCGCTTGCTGCATGCTCGGTGGTGGCGCCACATTGCAGGCCCTCCGGGGAGGACCAGGACGGAGAAAACGAGGGAAAGGGCAGGAGACATGGAGCGGCGGGAGACCACGCGCTGGCCACTGGGAGCGTGGCCCAAAGTCCGGGCTTGAATCAAGAGACCTCTGGGAGGCTGCCTGCCCACCCCCTTCTTTTTCCCACTTTCAGAAGCACTAGAAAGAGGCATTTCTTTCGTTTTTGTAAATGTAGCTGCAAGATTACAGGAAGCTAGCAACCAGTCAGAGAAGAAAATCTTTTTTCTTCTTCTTCCTGTAGAGCAGGCATGGGCACCTTGTGATTGCCAAATGCTTTGGCCTACAACTCCCACCACCCCTTGCCACTCACTAAGCGGGGTGGGGGTGATGGGTGTTGTAGGGCAGAGCTTCTGGAGGTCCTGTGCTGGTTGCCCGTCCTTCCCTCAGAGCTTGCCTGCTGTTCTTCATGAGCTAACGCTGATGCCATTCCCCCCCACCCAGCTTCGCATCCTACAGACGGCCGATGCTGGAGCACAGCTCGTGCATGAACCTCCCCCACCCCCTGGCAGTCCGTTGGCTCTGCAGGAGCGATAAAAATTAGCCTGCAATGCGTCTGCATCCCACAAAGCTGACTAAGTGGGTGTGCAGCTGTTCCCCTTTTTCAGAAAAAAAAAACAAATTACCAGAACAGCAACCTATAATTTCGAGAAGTGCATAGCCAGAAATAATACTCCAAAATCAGCAAGGATGTAAACTGAACTTGAAAGGAAAATTGAAGTTGCACTGCTGCGGGCTTAAATGCATGGAAAAATTGAATGAGACTCAGGTTGGGCTTCCGTCCCCTCCCCCGGTCTCCTCCCCCCGCCGCCCCCCCGCCTCTGGGTGCTGCCCGGCATTTTCCCCTCAGCCTCTCCCGAATCCAGGGCCGCTGCCTCAAGTCTGCGTGTCTCTCCCCACAGATCACAGCCCGGATCTTGGAGGCGCACCAGAACGTGGCCCAGATGAGCCTCATCGAAGCCAAAATGAGGTTTATCCAGGCGTGGCAGTCCCTCCCGGAATTTGGCATCACGCACTTCATTGCGAGGTCTGTGGCTCTGCAGCTGTCGGGGGGCGCCCTTCTGCGCAGGGGCCGAGCGTTCTCACGCTGCGGGCAGCCTGGGCAACTGCCCCCTTGCACCTCTTCCGTTCCGACCCTTAGCTGGCACTGCAGGCTTGAACCTGCGGTTGCGACGAGGCAGGGGCCCACCCTCCCGCTGTCCCGTTGGGAATCGGCCACAGGGAAAGTGCCGTGTGGGCAACCTGCATGGAGGCGGAATGGCTCTTTTTCTTAACAAACAAACAAACCCTGGATCTTATACTGCTTTTACAAAACAAAAAAAGCGCGACCTGAAACTGATTCATGACAACACAACAGGCTGAAGTAAGACACAACACAGTAGTAAAATTATGCACCCCCCAATCCGTGTAGCAAAGAATGGGGCCACGTACTTGGCCTCCCAAGCCCTGCTTCGCACGCACAAGCTGCAGGCTGTTTTCCGCACTAAACACAGATACTCAGGATTTAAGAGTGGATTGCTGACAAAAGTGTTCTGTTAGTACGATGATTATTCTCCTTTCTCACTCTCGAAGGCCATCAAGGTGTTGTGCAATTTAAAACGAGACAGCCTGGAGGCAGTTTTATTTATTTATTACTTATTTATTAAATCATTTCTATGCCGCCCCTTGCCGAAGCCTTGGGGCAGCTCACAGCACAAATAAAATACAATAAAATACAAAAATAACAATATAAAATTAACAATATAAAATAAATAACAATATAAAAGAAGTCGCCCTGGCCAGATAAATAAGCAAATATTGTTAACAATTAAAATGACGTTTAAATAAAAAGGTCTTCGCCTGGCGCCGAAAAACAAATAAGTGAGAGCATTCATAAAATGTGGGTGTTGCAGGTTCCAAGGGGGCAAGAAGGAAGAGCTCATCGGCATCGCCTACAACCGGCTGATCCGGATGGACGCCGGCACCAGCGACGCCATCAAAACGTGGCGGTTCAGCAACATGAAGCAGTGGAACGTCAACTGGGAGATCAAGATGGTAAGTGGGCCGGCCAGAGCTCTCCCCGGCCGTGCCTCAGGCGGGGCCTTGGTCCTGTGCGGTTCTGCCCACCTACATGAAGGCCAGGGTCGGTCTGTGGCCTTCGGGACTCCCCCACCGCGCCGTTTTCAGTGAGTGTTCAAGCAGAACCGCTGGTACACCTGAGGTCGCTTTTCCAGCTTGCCTGGCTGCATCTTATTAAGGGCAGTGCGCGCGCTCGGCCACCTCGTGGCTCCGGCTGCACTTTGGACGTCGCCTGGCTGCAAGAGCGGGCGGCAGAGCTCGCCGCTGCCTGGGTGACTCGCGGACGTCGCGGCCGCCGAGAGGCGTTCCCGTCCTTTCATCAGCTGGGGACTCGTGCAAAGTTCACCTGCTGAGAAAACAGCGCGAGGAAAGGACGGGGCTGGCCAGGGCCTTTCCCGGTTGCCAGCCGGGGGGAGAACGGGGCCGTGTGAGTGGCCTTCCGAGCGAGCAGCGTGGTCCAGGGTTTGGCTGTTGCAAGCTCGGGTCTTCACTGCTGATGTCACGGTTTGGCACCAAACCAAGTGGTGCCCGGCAGACCCCTCGAAAGTGTCCCCTAGTCCAGGGTGTCTCATGTGGCTTTGCATGGCTCCAGTTCTCTTCTGCCCGTGCTTTCGAAGGGCAGGGACTGGGACAGAGAACAGCTGGCCTGAAAGCCATCCAGTGGCAGGTGATTGAACCTGTATCTGAACCCTGGGCTTCACTGGTCTCCACAGTGCCCCCCCCCCCGACTTTAGCGAGATGTTCACTCCATCTGAGCCTCCCCCTTGCAGTGGCCACCACAGAGCCAGGGGCCTGGTTCACACCTCTCATTCCAGTCCTCCCAGCAGGGATTTGAGAAAGGGGGAAAGGCTGCGGGCGAGCGGCCCCCACGTGCCCTCTTGTTGCGCACCAGTTTCCTCCAGTGCCCGTGGTGGGCCAGCTGGGGTTAATTCTGGCCTCCTGGCCACACCAAAGACTGTGAGCTGACGTACCATAGTCTGGAGAGAAGCGCGCACCGAGTTCCGCATTTCGGGTGCCCTGGCAAACTGTGTTAGAGGAAGCTGAAGGGAGAATTAGCGGGGAGGGAGACGGTGAGCTTGTGCCACAGTTATCTCCCCCCAGCCACGACGGGGAAGATCGTCCGGATTGAGAACTCCGCGTTCTCAAGGGTAAAACGTTGGGCTCGGAGCAGGAAAAGCGGCGCTCACGGGTGTTCTCGGGCCCGTCATGCTGCCTCTGCTTCACAGGGGGGTGAGAATCGAGCAGGAAAACGCTGCTCTTGCCCCCAGCCCCTTGGAGAGAGCTTGGGATAGAAATGAGCCCCTGATGTCTGAGCAGCGGCATGGTGGTGGGTCCCCCCTGCCCCCCAGTCGCCTAACTGCTCGCTTGTTTTGCCTTCAAGGTGACGGTGGAATTTGCAGATGACGTCCGCGTGTCCTTCATCTGCACTGAGGTGGATTGCAAAGTGGTGCACGAATTTATCGGCGGATACATTTTCCTGTCAACACGTGCCAAGGACCAGAACGAAAGCCTAGACGAAGAGATGTTTTACAAACTGACCAGCGGCTGGGTGTGAATCAGGCGAGGTCTCCTGTAACTGACGTAAACTCAATGGCCATATTAATACTTAACTTCAAAAGCTGTTATTTGAAATATGCTGCTTCATCAAGTTAAGCTTGAAGTGTATCTTTTCTTTTTAATATCATGGCAACTTTTGCGTTAGCAGACCAGTTTGTATGTGCGCTAAACAGCACTTCCGTTAACCTGCTAGAACAAGACAGTAATACGGACTGCATAACGCGTACGCTTGTGCCTCTCTCCCCTCACTCAGCAAAACCGTTGGGCTGGTCGGGATAGTTTCTGACAGACGTAAGCTAACTGAAACTGAAAGGAAGAAGAAAAAAAAACTCTAAGCCATCTAACTCTAAAGATACCCAGGGCCTGATCTATATGAAGTCTATTTATCATGTTTAATGCATGTTTTGTGAGGTTTTTAAAGAAATATATATATATATATATTGTAAAAGTGGCACCCGGTGTGTTCAACGTCCTTCCTGCCTTTAGGATAGAACTTTGGTGTGCCACGCAGGAAGGCCCGTTGCTGCCCCTCTGTCCCCACCCACTTCGGTGGGGGCTGTGCATGGACACCCATGTGCCACAGTGGTGCTTGCTGAACTGTGCCCTTTGGTCCCGAATTTTTCGCACTATAGGATTAGGTCCACCGCAAGGGCCTGGAGCTTTACAAAACGTGGCCTTGAAAAAGATTCATAAGGTTGTACGTGTATCTGTTAACTTCTTGTTTCCTTTTGATAATCATTTATATAAAGTGCATCTCTGTCTCCCTCCTTTCCCTTTTATCTTATTTTTTACACCGTATTGTATTACAAACACACTTAGTATTCACCAGCATAGCCACTCTTTACCTAAGGTGATATGCAAAAACTTTTCATTAACAGTATGAAGTAAAGGTCTATGAAGTATAAGGACTTTTTTGTGTAACTAATGTAAAAAGAAACACAAATTTTATAAAATTGTACAGGTTTTTCTTTCTTTTTCTTTTAAAACTAGTCTCACAAGCCAAAGTAGGGATTGCAATAGTATCCAGTGTATTGGCCTTGAAGTATGCTTTTAATCTAAATATCCTGACCTAGTTGTAGTTGTGCCACAAAGCCCTTAACAACAGAACTCAGTTGCCTGGAATAAGGGGCTCGCATTTCAGAATTAACACTAATAGCCTGCGGGCCCCGGACCTCCCCATGCCGAGGATAGACCAGTATTGTGTCCAGCAGTCCATGACATAAAGCCTATGTACAAAAGCATTGTATTTTAAATAAAGGTTGAATCTTTTATTTAATATCTAGTCCTCATGTCAGTTTCCTTCAGAAAACTCCTGCAAGGAGGCGGCTGCCTCCACGTCCTTGGTGTGGCTGCCGCCATAGCAGATGTGAGGCAAGGCCGGATTCTTGCTCAGCTGTGAAGCGAGATAAAGCGAGCGGCGTCAGGTTGTTGCGTCTGCTCAGACAGAGACTGCATCTTGCCCGCTTTGGGGTATGCATAGAAGGAATAAAACTGCCGCCGGAAGGATGTTGCACGGAGAACGTGGAGCAGGCCGGTGGCATCGGGCCGTGGTCCCTCGAGCACTCGCGGTGCTCTTTCATCGCTCACACGCCCGTTAGAGGATCGGCCCGGCAGGAGGGCCGTGCCTCGGGGTGGCTGTCCATCCCCCCTGCCTCCTTTGGGCCAGATGTTGGTAGCCTCCAGACACATCCCAGAAGTGTCGCCCCCGTTGTTTGGCAGATGTGACCCTTTCCTGCCCCACAGTGCCCCCCCCCCCCCAGTTCATTCCAGGCGTTGCACCGGCTTGGATTTGGCCATCTCTTTCCCAGGGTTTGTTCTTGGCTCCACTCTTCCAAGCAAAACAAGGTTGCCTGGAGAAAATGCTAAAACTGCAGCTTGTTTCCAGCAGCCCAGTAGGCAATTTAGTGTGTTTTGCATTTCTGAGGAAATCCAGAAATGCAGAGCTCAGCTTCACAGAAAGGGTTCTGGTGCATCAATTCTTATTACAACTATAATCTCTTCACCGTAATAGTATTTGCCAGCATTGCTCAGCCACAAGCCTCCCCGAGTCGATGCTGATTACATTTGGCTTATAAATCGCCCTGCTCCCCCAGCCAGACTGAAAAATGTTTAGGGCAAAACACCGTCTCCGTAGCCTATCAGTTGCTTCCATAATGTAATCGAAAAGTAACATTATAGGGCAGTTTGCAGTGCATCCTTCTAGTGGAAGAAGAATACACACGGCGAGCTCCCTTCCTTCCTTCCTTCCTTCCCTCCCTTCCTTCCAGTGCCGCATGGAGTGTCGCTTACCAAGCCAATAAAAAGCCCTCAGGACCAAGCCCCCTTCATCAGACCCGCTGGATGCACACATCCTGGGTTTCAAGGGGCGGCATAGAAATGTTATAATCATAATAATCATAATCATAATCATAATCCTGAGCAGCACTGCGGCCACGACTGGAAAATGGTGCCAGACTTGCCCACCTGCCGTTCCTTCTGACCTCACCCCCATTCGGCCGATGATGTCCGGGCAGGTGGGCACACGGTCGGTTTTAGCAAGGCTACTTGGGACACGGCCTGCCTTTCATCCAAATGGGGAGGGAAGTGGGAAGGAGCCGGAAGGCTGGCCGGATCGCTTAGGCAGGATCCACCACAATCCCGGGCACTGGCCTGGCCCAAACCTTCGTATCCCCGCTTCTTTCCACCGGCTTCTCTTCCGGAAGAGGACGGAAACCAGAGGAAGAGTGACCCACACTGCTTCGCAACTGCCATGATTCAGTTGTTTCCAGGTTCCTAATCGTATTTTTTTTTTATTATGTATGTATTCCCCACCTTGTTTCGTTTGCAAGAACCTCATGGTGACTTGCATCCTCCTCCTCCAGCTTCCCCTCACAACAGCCCTGCGAGGTAGGTTGGGCTGAGAGTCTGACTGGCCCCAAGTCACCCGGTGAGCTCCGTGGCTGAGCATGGACTGGAACCCAGAACTCCCGGGTCCCTGCCCCTCACTCTCGCCCCATGGCACGATGGGTCGTAGTAATCAAGCATGCCTTGTGATGGCCATCCCCCCACCCCCCGCAGGATAGGAGATGGCAACCTGTGACAGGGCAACAAGCATGAGGGATCATCTTGGGCATGCAGAGCCATGGGGGGAGGACTTGGGCAGGGAGCGATGCCAGGGGAGCGGTGGGGGTGCTGTGGTAGAGGTGGGGGGCCCGCAGCCCCTCTGACGCTGGCCGAGCTCACATGTCATGGCAAGCGATACCGCACCATTTCCCCGGTTGTGCTTCCCAGTTCAGACGACGTGTGGGAACAGAAGAAGTGGAGGGGCTTATCTCAAGGGCGCCCTCCCCAGGGAAGGGATGTGGGAGAAAAATTCCTGTGGCCAACCGAGCCTGCTGCAGCTCTTGACCCCGTGACGCGACCTCGGGAGAGACGGGCCACCCAGTTAGAGGGAAACGGACAGAGAAGAGGCTTTCCCCTTTCCAAAAGTATCCCAGGGAACTCGAAAGGAGGGTTCTCGGAAGGTGTCGGTGGACTAGGTTCCATGAACCACTCTCGATGCTCTGTTGGTTGCGCTTCCTGGATGTGCATTGGAGAAGAAAGCTTTTGCCGAAGAACAGCCTGCTGTCTTGGACGTGTGAAGGGGGAAACTTGGCTTGCCGCAGGCGTGGCCAGCAGCTGCGACGACTGCGGGTCCCTGCATGACCAGAGGCCCACCAGAGCTGCTGGAGAGGGGCTCCCGCGCCCCTCTCCTGCAGGTCGGCTTCTCCCAGGCGTCTGGGTGGCTGCCATGCTCAGCGGGAAGCTGAATGAACAGGCCTTCGATCTTGCCTCGCAGGCCTCCCACATTCATATTTAACTACAAAAAAGTGAAGTTTCTAGCCCTCGCAGTTGTAAAGAGATGGTTGGAAAGCAGGTGGGAAGGACTAAGGTAGTATAAAAGCAAAAGAAAGTTCCGAGGCTGGGAAGGGGGGCTTTATCGCTCAGCAGGTTTTGGTTTCCTCCCCTTGACTGCTAAAACACCAAGGCACGCAAGGCAAGTATGTTCATAATGGGATCCGGCATTCCTGGGCCAAGGACTGGCTTTCTGCTCCACACGAGTTCGTTGCCCCATCGCCCCCACAGCTGCTCCAGCCTTCGGGTCTCTCTCTGCTTCTGATCTGCATCCCTGTCTCCAGATCTCTCTTGCTCGCACCGCTGGGGGCATCCTTCTATTCCTCCTCTCTTGCCTTGGCGATACAGTGGTGGGAAGAGACGGGCACCTTCGGAAGAGCCATCGCACGCTGCCGAACCGTCAAAATACATGGCGCGGCCTTTTCTTCCTGAGCAGACTTTCTGTGCTAAGAAAAAAGATGGGAAAGCACACGGAGAGGGAGAGACCCCGTCGCATGCATTCTTCACTGTCCTCTGGAACAAAGATAATTATTTCTTGAAAGTACTTGACCTCCTTCCCATGGCCCTTCGCTTGACCCGCTTTCCTCTCGGTATCTCATTCCCAGCATTGACTCCAGCTGTTTCAGCCGTTCCCCCTGTGCTGTGCTTATGCCTGACGCCTTGATCTCAGTGTGCTGCTCTGGGTCAGCAGCTCCCAGAGTAAAATTAGTAATTAGGTGATGCTAACGGAGAAGGAAGAGATTGTCTCCCTGCCACGGTGGAGACCAGAATCGAGGCTGAGCCAAAAGCAGGGGTGCGAGATAACCAGCAAATGGCGCCAAGTGGACGCTCCGTTTAGCGGCCCTAAACTGGCCTACACGGCTGGCTGGCTGTGGTGCTGTCTGAACCCGGTGCGGGGTGGCTTATTTTGCACAAACAAGTCCCTCCAAGAACTCCTGTTTTAGGGTGATTCTTGCCCGCAGTGAGTGTCTGAACCAGGCAGAGTGATTTTAGTGCCGTCGTTCGGAAGGGCTTCAGAGCCAGGCTGCGAGAACGGCAACCCCCTGCTTTGCTCACAGCCTTGCCGGCGCCTGCCCTTCTCCCACGGCCACATTCCAGAGTCCTGTCCTGCAAGACCCACCCTCCCCTCCCTTGCTTTCACTGCAACCCCCTCCCATCATATGCAGGACTCCAGATATTTTAGTTTGTGTACATTTGACGGCTATCGGTTGTTAAGTCAATTGAAAAGTGAAGCGGCACTGGGGATTCCCCCCCCCCCGGGGGTGGGGAATATCTCGCCCTCTTACCAGTGCGATCCTCCAATTTTTAAATACTCCCCATGTGATTCTCAGTGCCCTCCACCTTTTCCACACTTCCCAACCTCTAGGTACTCCGAGGGAGAATGTTGGGAGACCTATATCCTACCCCCTTTTTACAAGGACTTAACTGTTGACACCTGTTTTTCCTCTGTCTGGCAAATATGGATCATGGATCCCCCATTCTCCAAATACTCAAACTTGCTGGATAGGGGTTTTGTTTTTTCCAAAAGAGAGCCCTTTTTGACGGATGTGAAAAGCCAAGTGCCCCGAAGAAGGATGTGGGGTGCAATGAGTCACCCCAAAGTGCCGGTTGGGTGCTGATTCGGTGGCAGCCAGTGGCAGTGTGATGCTGGAGATCGCCGAGAGCAGCCAAGGGTCTGCCGCCCGCCACTTCCCACGACCCACAGTAAGTTCAGTCTCCTGGGCACAGATGGCAAGACAACCAACTGTGGGTCCAAGAGCCCCTGGAACAAACCACGGGTTGTTTGGGTGGCTTCTTGCTCCCAAACTGCACCCTGCGGGAAGCAGTCCAGGTTGGCACAACCCACCGCAGCTGGTTCCCACGATGTGCGGCCCTGTCACACGACCCCAGCTCTGCATTCTGCTGCGACCAGCAGCCGCCCTCCAAGACCTCGGGTGGAAGAGTTTTTCCTCGTGGTTGCACCTTGGAACCTATTAATTGGGACCTCCAGCAGGCAAGGCCCCTCGTCACCCAGAGCCCCCCTCTCAGGACCGCCTGCTGCAGCCAGGCTTCGGGCCAAGCCCTCCGTCTAAGAGGGTCTTGCTGCATCGCAGTCACCTGCTTCTGTGTTGACAGCAAGCAGAGGAACCCAAATACCGCAGAAGATGTTAATTCCTTCCACTTTTATCCTGTGTCTTCCTCCCCTGAGCCCATCCTCGTTACCCTTTCTATTTCATTCATTCATTCATTCATTTGCATCTATTTATAGGCCGCCTATAATTGCCGGGGCCTTCCTAGGCGGCTTACAATGCAATTTTATCTACACAACGACCCTGTGGGGCAGGGCAGATCTCTTAACTGCCTAAGTAATTACGGAGCCCATGGGTTGCAGCGTTCCTGGGAGTTTACCACTTCCTGCCACTG